CCAATTTATAATACCCAACTAAAATAAAGTACACCCGATTTTAAAAAAAAAAACAAAAGTAGTGTACATTACATTAACCTATCATACAAGTTATTATCATACACACCAAAAGAAATAGTAGATGATGGAGTCGGGTTTATAACTTACCAAAATATCACATTAAGTTTTAGTTTCAAAAATATCACATTAAGTTTTAGTTTCAAAAATATCCATTACAGCTACTGCTCAACGCTTTTCCCTTGATCCATATGACTTGTACCTAAAATCAAGAAATATCGGTAATGGAAAGCTTAAATTCTTAGTGAGTAATTTATCAACATGTGGTTAAACTCAACATATAATTATACTCAGATAGCATACTCAATTCAATGCTTTCATTATCATCAATTTCTTTCATCTCTTTATAATCTATTATAATAATAATTGTTATCTTTTAACATAGTAATGATATTTACTCAATGAACCCAATCATCTCTCATGGGTATGTAAATCAAATATTCTCATCTTGGTAATCTCAATGAATAATTTATTCACATGATATGATCCATCCACACCTCATAGTCTATCATGTATTTCATCATAACCTCAATAAAATATCTCTTTCAAATGATCTTATACATAATGTAAGTCATTCATCCCTCATGAGTTCACCATATATATTTCATATACTCAATCAAGTTCTATCATAAACCAACATGAACTATATGATTACTATCTAAACAATTTCACGATCTATAATAAATAAATTCAATCTCTATTTATCAATTTCATGAGTTAAATCAAGAGTTACTCACCTTGTTTAAGGCATATGGGGATGATAATCCAAGCTTTTAACCTCCTTGTCTATGGCTTTTCCTTGATTCCCTAATCACAATTAGCTCATATTCATCAATGGTTAAGTCAATTAAATGACTTAGCTTTTATATATATATATATATATATATATATATATATATATATATATATATATATATATATATATATATATATATATATATATATATATATATATATATATAATATGTATAATCTCTTTTAAGTTACAATACTATCATATCAATTTTACATAACCCATACACAAATCACAAGTCTAACACACTTAAGAAGTTTATTTTTATTAGTTGTAAATATCAATTACATTATCCTTTATCACCTAATGACTTAATCCATCAATTCATGTTCTCCATCTATGTGTTCTTGACTTCCATAGATGAAGTTTTCATATTGGCTTCTACTTTCCATAAATAACATTCAAAATCACAAAATAAGCTGAAATCAAACTATATAACACTAGTTTCTTACTCAATATTATGATGCAAGTTCAAACCCTTTACTTAGGGTTTCATCATAACCCTCATAATCTAGCTCTCAATCACAAATTAAAGTGTTAGAATTAGTAACTCATACCTTAATCCACCGAGTTGAAGCTTTAATCTGTGACCCACATGAAAATCGGACTTCTAGGGCTTAACTAGGTGAAATCACACATTTAGGTGTGTTTTTGGCAGTGTTCTATTGAAATGATCTAATTATAGATCTTTTTTTAACACGTTTCAGTCACCATGTCGTGGTATACTTAATGCCGCATCGTGGCATGTCTTTTATGAGACCTCTCTCTCACGACATTTCACCATCCTTCACTAAATATAAAATTAAGGTAGTCTACTTTCCTCAATGCCGTGGTCATGACTTCTCCACGTCATGGTATTTCAAAGTATGTTGCTTTCATTGTTCATTTTACGTAACTCAAATCATTGTTATGAGACCTCGTCATGGTCTCATCTTTGCCACATCGTAGCTTTGAGAGAAGTGTGTTTTCTACACATTTGATCACTAGGTTATTATCACTTGTGCTTTTATGTTATGATACTCATTTTAATCAAAGAAAACACATAATAGTCCTACTAAGATCATATTTATGTAATACAACACAAATTTATAAATCAAGTCTTATGGTAAAAGCTTATGAAGATGTGCTCCCGTTTAAAATGAAAAGCACTAATGTTGATTATGCTTTGTTGTTGATGTTTCTGATAAAATTGACCTAGTTGTTCCTTGCTCTAATGATGATAACCTGTCATATGATTTTTTAGATGAAAACATAGAATCTGGTGCCTCTACATCTGGCCATCAGGTTGATGGTATTCGTGTAGTCCAATCCATGGCTGACACCTATACTAGTAAAGTTGACAACCATGATGATGAGGTATCCGTGCCACAACTTGATCTGAGTTATGCTAGATCTCTAGGTTAATCTGAGGATAATTGACAATCAGATCTTGTTCCTTCGAGTAGCCACTCTATGAGTCGTTATAGGAGAATATCTCATCTACCTACCATATTCTTTAATTTTATTCTTAAAGGTAGACATAAATATGCAATTGCAAAAACTGCTAATTATGTTTTGCTTAGTTCTGAAATAAGGTATTTTGTGTTTAATATAAATTAGGCTATTGAACCACACAATTTCGTATAGGTTTCTTCATAACCCATTTGGATAAAAGCAATGAATGAGAAAATGAAAGCTCTTCATAGAAATAGTACTTGGGAATAAAAAAATCTTTGATTTCATGAAAGAGTAAAAAATAGGATATTCATGGGAAGATGTAGTTCATGTCAAGGATATGCAATTGCATACCCTTAAATTTTTCTTACATGTGTTGATTTTTTTTTTAAAATAATAAAGTATGTATTAAATGTTACATTTGCATACCTTAAATAAATACTTGCATATATCCTTTACTAGTTTGATTTTGTGGCAAAAAGCTATGCGTCCATTGTTTTAATTGACCACACATCTAAAAAGCAGCTATCTGTTGAATTTTCAAATGGAAACGTATATAACACCTCAAGAAAATGTCTTAATTTGGATTTTAATCTAATTTGGGCCTATAAAAATATATTTTGAGTTTTTTTGAACATTGTGCTATAAAATTCTTTTATATCAATATATAATATTTTCAAAATTTTGCTAATTTAATTATTCAAAATCTGAACAAAATGAAGGATTTTTTTAATCGCTTATATTGGTATCAATGATTCAATTAAAGTTGACTTTGTGACAGAAGTTTGAAATTATTATCTAAAAAGATTTATTTTCTTTTTACATTGATAAAACAATTGAGCGTTAACTAATTACAATGATTGCAATTTATCTGGAAATTTTTTATAGAACCTTTTAATATAATTACATCTTATAAAAAAAAGAAACTAGTTCATTATATAAGTTTGACTTTGTATAGTATAAAATGATAATAAATAAGATTTCGATGATAATAATCTTGATTTTATCTAATTATATTTTTAGTTTTTTTTTTGACGCTTGAAATTATCGATTGTTTCATATGCTAATAAACTTTGACTGTATTTTTGTACAATTTTATTTTTGTAGGGGTTTTTAAATTAGAAAATTTTATCTTTTAGTTAAACACATTTGTTAATGTGAAATATGGAACTAGCAAAAAAAAGCCAATCACATTGCATACCCTAAGGATATTGGTTCTCGATCTTGTATAGATTTCTTGGCTCTATATCTGTTGTAAAATTGCGTGGACGTTAAAAAAAATTATTTATTTTTGGTATAAAAGATTTGGTTCCAATAAAAGTGTTTTGTGACAATGATTTTGGTATAAAAAATTTGTTCCAATAAAAGTGTTTTCCCATCTAGGGTTTAATATGTGTATGTCAAGATCTTCAAACATTTTTGTTCTGAGTTCTTCTTTATGGTTCTAAATTAGTTCTTAAGAGAATGAGAGTGATTGTAGTAAGCTTTCAATCTAATAAAGTTTTGCTTGAGGTTTATAAGTGTGATTGAAACTGAACTTGTTATGTTAATTAGTCGATGAATTGGTAGATGGCGTCGATATCATTGGATATTAGTAAGTCACGGAGAGTATATATATGTTTGTATCCTTTAATATAGTGGCCGTAATTCCTTTAGGGTCGTTTGGTTCACATAATGTTTTTGGAATAAATTGAATCTATCAAATGAATTAGAATCCGAAGAATTGGAATATGAATGTATTAGAAGCTGAAATGCGTTTGATTGACATGGAATGAAATATGTTTTCTGCTAATTTCATAAAGGAATTGGAAAATAAATTTTATAATAAGACAGAAATACCCTTAATGATTTTTGTAACTAATTATATTTTTTAATAAACACGACAAAATTTTATTTAATTACAACATTTTTTATTGAACTCTTCTACAAAATTTGAATTAAAAAATAACTACCATGGATTTTAAATAATTTAAGGACTTTTGAGGAAGCTCGAGCTCGGCTCGTTTAATTTTGAGGAAGCTCGAGCTCAATTCGAGCCTTAAAATGAAGCTCGGGCTCGGCTCGTGAACAATTTAGTGGGCTCGCGAGCCTAATCGAGCCTAAACGAGCCTCTATGTATATATATATATATATATATATGTGTGTGTGTGTGTGTGTGTGTGTATATATATATATATATATATATATATATATATATATATATATACAGGCTCGTTTAAGCTCGTTTAGGCTCGCGAGCCTATGAATTGAAGCTCGGCTCGAGCTCGTTTAATAAACGAGCCTCATATTTAGGCTTGAGCTCGGCTCAGGCTCGTTTAATTCGATCTCGAGTCGAGCTTTTAACGAGTCGATCCCGAGTAGCTCATGAGTAGCTCGGCTCACTTACACCCCTAGGTAAAAAGGCAGGAAACAAAAAATTCATCGTAGGCAAAAAATGAAAAAAAAAGTAGAGGCAAAAGTCACGTTAATAATTTTTTTTTATCTCATAAATAATAGAAGGATGATTGTGTAATTTAAAATAAGGATAAAAAATTGAATATACTTTCATGATTCACAGTGGAAGAATTATAATTCTTTCAAATGTGGAATTAAATGGTAATTATAGAAATCTAATTTCATTGTTTGGTAACCCAAACACAATCTCCCATAGATTTTAATTTCCAATTCCTTTTAATTCCTTAGGAATCATGTGAAACAAACGCACTCTTAAGGTTTTTCCATAATAAAATATCTGTTGGATTAATAACTTAATAGTTGATAAGAAGCTTCAAAAGTAACAATGCTTTCACACATGAAACAAAAGTGCACCTATAGGCTGCTTATTTAATTAGCTACTAGATTTTGAAGCTTGTTGACTTGGGTGGTTCAAACCAATTATGTGGGGCGGAGATAGACACCGATGGCATGGAGGTAGTCGCTAGAACGCCCATAGAAGCCTGCAAAGCTAGCTTTTGAAATTGGTAGCGAGAAATGAGTCCCGTTTTCCCTACCAAATGGTCCAAACTTGTTTACATCAGTTGCAAAAGATAGCGATGTCACAACAATCTTCCCATCAAACCATCCAACAGTTCCGCTAATCTCATTCAACTCCTCAACATCATTGTCGATGTGAACCTTCATGTCATAAATTTGAATCGATTATATTCATCTATTCAAAAAGATGTTGCTATTCATTAACCCCATTATTAGATACACACCCCGTTTTGTAACTTTTTTAATATTTTTTAATATTCCAACATGATTTAAAAAAAAAAATATAGTACTTAAGCTACCTCGGTATAATCACCACCATAACCACCAAACCTTTGTGAATGGAGGTGATTACCGTCATCATCTAGGCTAACGAATCCGATGGAATCGATAACTTCTCCATGGTTGATAAATATCTTTGTGATCTTTCCCTCAGCTTTGAATGACCAGTTTTCTCCATCCGATCCTCCCCATGGTCCGATTAGCGCTATCTTTTTCTGCAATAAACAGATTAAACATTACACTATTTCTTGTAGATAAAACTAATCACTAATATGGAAGAAATTGACGAGTAATGGAAGAGAACATACCATTTTCATGAGATAATAGTGAACTGAATTGGTATTTGTTTTGATGGGTTGTATGTATATATAGGGATTTTAAAGGAGTGTTTATACGATTTGAAATTGAATTTTATTGCTTAGTTGACAAGTGTAAGCTATGAATGAAAAGTGTTTGAGTTTGGTGATGGATTGTGTGAGTTATTTTTGGAGGTTGGTGACGGTGCATGCAACCAATTAGATTCTGTGACCCACCACCATTTTCCTTTCACCATAAGTCTTTATATATATATATATATATAGATATATATATATATATATATATATATATATATATATATATATATATATATATCTATATATATATATACTTTTTTTTTTAAAAGAGTTAATGTAAATATTCAAAAAGAAAGTAAACATTTATAAATCTTAGAAAACAACTTTTATAAATATGTTTATTATTTATTGAGACAGTTGCATGGCTACCAACATTACTATTTTTATGCTATACTTTAAATGATTTTCACATGCCTTATTATAATGTTATTGAATTTTAATTTGATCGTTTAAACTGATTTTTTTTCTCTCCAATGAACCCTTCTACACAAAAAATAGTGTTTTTGGTCACTTCAGATTTTTGATAATGTAATTTTGTCTTTCGTAATATATCAAAGTTCTAGTTTTTCTTAGAAGTTTTAATATAAAACCCAAAAAGCCCATAAATGTTAGAATTTATTCATTTTGTAACATTTGTTGTTTTATGGCCTATAAATAGTGCGTTGAGGTGTAAATGCATAGCATGTTGTCAACGAGTTCAAACTAATATGCAAAAATAAACAATTCAAGATGAATGAGAATTTCTAAGTATAGTATTAGACAATCCTACTTTCATCAGTATGGTAATATTAAAAAAAAATCATAAATTTACAATGTACACTACTAGAAAAAAGGGCATTACCGACAGAATTTTAGCGACGGAAAAATCCGTCGGAAAATAGAGACGGAATACCGACAAATTAAGAAAACTTAATTATATGGATTTTAGTGACGGTTTTCCGACGGTTTAGCAACACAATATATTTCGTTGATAATCCGTTACAACTTACCGACGCTTTACCAACGGAAAATCAACAATTTTTCATTCCGTCGGAAATTTGTTGGTAAAACTGGATTTTCTTTTTTATTTTTTAAATAATAGGGGCAATTTGGTAAATAGACGAATGTTAAAGGATGAGTCCCGCTGCATCTCCGATCTGCAACCAGTCGGCCAATGCCTCCGCCATCACTCCCAATGCTGGTTCCTTCACTGTCAACTTATGAATGCTTCCTCTTATCACGCCTCAATGTTGAACGCCCAACCTAGCGGATGGATCAGATAATCCTTCGAGTAAAAGATTTGTTCCTGCAACGGTTAGACTCCGACGAGAGCTGCGCAACAGAATAAAATCCTTCCCTCTGAGATTATTTAACCCTACTGTGAGAGGCGTCGCACCAATCGGTCAACTAACTGCTCCATACAAGAATTCCCTTATCGCTATCCCTGACCGAAAACCCCGCAATCTCTTATCCGCTTTCCGGATGAACCGAGACCACCCTGGTCCCAACTAATCTATCAGCTATCTAAAAATATCGGATCCTGCCTGGTAACCGGACTCAATTATGTTGTGGCCTACTCACATCCGTGTGGCCTGCCCTGACCTGGTTTAATCTATCTGAAAAACCCCACAAGCGAGACACACCCCTGATACATTCTTACTACCGAATCGGGACCGATGAATGCTACGGGCCACCCTGCAGTCTCACTCTTCCATATTAACTGACAACTAATGAATGCTACGGCCACCCCGTAGTCTTACTATACCATTATACCAACAGCTAATTGACGAGTGCTACGGGCCACCCCGTAGTCTTACAATACCAAATCTACAGGCTACACCTCAATCTTACTATACTAATGCTACAGGCCACACCGTAGTCTAACTATACTAATATACGAATGCTACGGGCCACACCACAGTCTTACAACGTACTTACGCTATTTGCCAACTAGTGAACGCTACGGGCCACCCCATAGTCTTACAACATTCCTACACTTTCTGCTAACCATTGCTACGGGCCACCCCACAGTCTTGCCACACTTCTCCTGCTATCTGGCCACTGGTGAATGCTACGGCTAACCCGCAGTCTTCAACACTTCCCACGCTGACCGGCTACTAGTGAATGCTACAGCCATTCCGCAGTCTTACAACACTTTCCATGCTGACTGGCTGCTAGTGAATGCTACGGCCATTCCGCAGTCTTACAACACTTTCCATGCTGGCTACTAACCCGAACACCCCTATAATCGAGCATACAAGCACAATCTAGTACTCCAAGCTGTACTCATGTCCTGACTGAAACTCCCAACCGATTTTTCTGAAACCTGCTGTCAGACATCCCGAGAATGCGATCTCACCATTGGCAAGTTTCCCGAACTTCCAATTCACACTATCCTCAATTCATACAGCCTCCTGGGCCGTCTTTCTCCCTGACAAGAGAGCAGAACTTACCCCATTTTCTAACCGCTCCTGCTTCTGAGTACAAGATCGTTTCTCCCCCACTTAGCTTCGACTAAGTCTTTAAGGCATGCGAAAATATGAGGATTTCCATTCCTTCCTCCCTTACACGGTAGGCATGCTAACTACCAACGCCTTAATCTTGCTAGCGATCTGTCACTAACCCACTCCAAAGGTCGCACAATCACTGAAGACTAGATGAACGCTTCTTGAAATCCCGACACTAATGACCCCAAAAGCTTAACCTGATGTCCTTCTCAACCTTAAAGTCGAATTAGATGATGCTCAGAGCAACTTCTTTAGCGATAGACTGCTTCTCTTGATGCTTCTAAAAGTTATCTCTAGCACAAGGATTGATCTTCACCGAATCCTGACGATTGTGGATAACCATCCTGCTGAACTCTGACCGCAAATTTCTCATGATGCTCCTGAACTGATCTCGGCCGTAACCGAGATCACACTGAACCCTTCGAACCAGAAAAGGGAAATGACCTTACACTAGCTACTAATAATTCCCGGTATGGAATTGGCATATGACATTTTCCGCAAATACAATCCGAATACAAGCAGGGAGATAAAACATACATACAACTACCCTAGACCGAGGCAAGAACAATCATAATACATATAGACTCGAAAATAGCCATTGATACGTACCTGCAACATTCCCTGCTGTAATCTGGATCTCCCTCGTCTGTCACTGCAAGGCCCTACCCTCTCGCCCATCCGTAATCCTCAAGGTAGTCGGGGCAGACGCACTCCCTGCTCCTCCCCTCATCATCGGGCAGTCGGCCTTCTTGTGGCCCACCTGATTGCATTGAAAACATAATGGGCTTGCCCCCCCGTGGGCAGTCCCTGCTGACGTAACCATCACTGCCACACTTGTAGCAGCCTGAACCCCTGTAACGACAAACTCCCTCGTGCAGTTTCCCGCTAGTGCTGCACTGACTTCGGCCCTGCCGACCTACCAATCGTTGATCTGAAGTCTTGGGTCTCTTCCTGGGACCCTCCAAAGTGTACATGTGATCTGACCTCCTCTTCGCAATGTGCTCCAAATCAATCTCCCTCTCCCGCGCCCTGGCAATTATAGAGTCCAGGGTCGGGCATGCTGAGAAGCTGACATGCTCCCGAATATCAGCTCTCAACATGTCATGATAGCGGGTGCTCCGCATCTCCTCATCCCCTGCATACTGAGGCACCAATAAGGCCCTCTCCCGGAACTTGGCGGTAATCTCCGCCACCTACTCCGTCGTCTGTCTCATGTCTAGGAACTCTCTGGCCAGCTGCTGAAGCTCCATATCCGGTGCAAACTCCGCCCTAAACCTGGTTACAAAGTCAGACCAGGTCATGGCCTCAATGGCTGAGGCTCCCAAGGAATCACCAACTGACTCCCACCAGTCTCTAGCTCTGTCCCTCAAGCATCCCGCAGCAAATCGAACCTTCGACCCTTCAAGACAGAAGCTCGTCAACTGTGCAGACTCAATGTCTGCAATCCATCTCCTGGAAGCAATTGGGTTCTTCACCCTGTGGAAATCTGGCGCACCACTCCCCCTGAAGTCCTTGAGGGACAGTGTGCACGATCCTGACTGGCTGGATGTCGTGTCACTCCGGAACGCTCTGAGGCGATCCTCCATCAGCTCAATAATTCCTTCCTTGATCGACCTGAAAATCATCGGGGTCGACTCAAGGATACCTCTCGTGATCTCAGACGCGATGAACTCGCATAGTCCCTCATCTACTGGCTCGGAACCTACACCTGAACCTGATCCTGATACTCCTGCTCTGTGTCGCGTAATCATCACCATTCAGAAATGAAACACATAATCGTCGGGGTCATACGTAACCTCAGAAGGTCTCACATCCTACAAGTTTCCTGGTTCTATCTCGACCCTCCTTGACTCGAGTACGGATCCTCTGCTTTCAGAAGTACGGGCCCATACTACCTTCCACATCTATCCGTACTTTCCTCAAGGATTGCTTCGACTTCACCAAGTCCCTTCTGCTTCTGTTGCACTCTGCCACTCTCCTCCTAGGCTTTCCTAGGTTCCCGAACCCACCCAGTCCTCAGCTGCGGAGAGACTCTTCATGATGCCAATTTACCACTACATGAATACCATCACATGTGGCGGGGCTCGGATAATCCTTCGAGTAAAAGACTCATCCCTACAACGGTTAGACTCAAACGAGAGCTGCGCAGTAGGGTAAAATCCATCACTCTGAGATTATTCAACCCTGGTCACATGTGACTTAGCCTAATCATCTAGTAGTTAACTCCCATCACTCGAAATCCCACAGAGCACAAAGCAAGCAGCATTCAGACAATGGAAAATCTAACCAACATATTCCAATCAAGTTATCCTCTACTCAAGAGTCTGCACTAGCATGCAATTCAAAGGCTCATACAATCAGGCATAACCTAAATAGGTCATCCTATTACTGGCTAACCAGTTCTAGAATGCAATTCTACAAGTTCACATAAGCATACAAAGGCATATCTCTTAGATCCTTAGACATAATCTAGCATGCGATTCATATAATCATATCATGTCACATA